CCTGAACCAGTGGTGACATCGGCAGGAGAGGCTCCAGCACTGGTAGGTAAGGGCGAAGTCATCACAAGTGGTTGACTGGGCCTAGGAACGACCATCGGTCGGGGCCCGCGAGCTTTTAAGGCAAATTCATCGTTTTTCGCTCGTCTTTCATGCATGCCTGTATGAATTGCAGAAGTCATTGTGTTTTGGCGGTGGAGAAGTACAGAAGTGAACAGTGTGTTAGTATTTAGTTGTTCGAAGCGTTGTTGACAAGACTTACTCAACTCGCTGCCCTCACCTGCTAACCGCACTATACACATGCGGCTGATGTACGTATGTGGCCCTCGCGTCGATCTTACCCGCTGCCTGTCCGTGCGCAGGTCGACTCACAAGAAATGCAGCTAGCTCGCCAACTAACTGTTCATCTTTGAGCTTGTTGGCTGACTCTTGCTTCATTGTTATTTAGACACTACCTGAATTGACTTACTTGGTAGCCTACGTGAGTATCCGGATGGATAGAGACTAATCCCTTTCTACATACATAGCCCCACCCCCAGATACATACTTTTTCTCCTTTCTCCCATAAAGCTTCCTTTCTTGAATCTTAGCTCTTTTCTTTCTTATTTATTCTGACAACTATCACTTTCTAAACCCGGCCGGCTTTAATAAACCGAGACATATCTGGGTAGTACGCCTGGAACAAAAAGGTTCGTCGTACAATTTCGGCGATTACAAAAATAAAGGAGTATATCCCTCTCCCTTAGTGTCTTTCCACTTCCGTCGTTCAGGAAGAAACACTTCGCCTAATTTTTTTTAATCTCGGCCCTCCCCACTAAAAAATGACGTTACGACCATTGAACAAACTTGGTTGACGAACATGATTTATGCGCCGCTAATGTAGCGGCTTGTCGAGCATTTGACAAACTCACACCATCCATTTCAAATGGGATTTGTCCCGTGGACACACGAGCAATCCAACCCGTAGGATTTCCTTTTCCTCTTCCCATTCTGACTTCTGTAGGTTTCCCGGTAATAGGGAGATCTGCGAGAACTCTTACCCATATCTTACCATTTCTTCGGAATTGTCCGCTCATAGCACGATGGAATTGTCCGATTGTAGCCCGACGCGCTGCTTCAATGGCTCGATATGAAAGACGACCAGCTTTACAACTTTGAGTGCCATATCTTCCAAAACCAAGTTTTGTACCGTCCGGTTTGCAACCCCTACTACATCTGCCTTTACGATATTTACTATATTTCGTACGTTTCGGATATAGCACGTCCCTTTTTGTTTAACTATATGAAATCCACACTTTGACACCTAAGATTCCGTAACGAGTAGATACTTCCGCAGGAGCATAATCGATTTTCTGGTTAAATACATTACGAGAGACTTTTCCATACTTTCCGCATTCAGTTCTCGCTATTTCTGCGCCTTTTAATCGACCGGAACAACATATACGGATCCCCTCAACCCCCTTTTTCATTACTAATTGAATATTCTTCATTATTTGACTAAAAATGGAACGAAATGATCTTCTTTTGTTCCTCAGTTGAAAAGAGATGTCTTGAGCAATCGGAGAAGCGCTTTGATAAACAGATTTGATTTTGACCGACTCAATTAAGGTATTAGTGTTTGTTCTATTAGACAACAAAGATCGCATTTTTTTGACTTTGTTTAAATAAGAGTTGTACCTGTACGGAATTTTGCTCTTTCTCAATATGATCTCTATCATCATCTCTATTCCCTTTATCAATTCTTCTATCCTACCTAGGTTTCTCAATTTCTCTATCAATTCCATTACCTTATCCTTACCCATGAGGTTCCAACATTTGATCCTTAATTTTTCTAGGAGTTGTTCCCGGGCATCCTCAAAAAAAAGGTTCTTATACACCCCAACCCCATCTCTTAGAAAGAAAAAGGTAGCACCGAAGAAAGGAAAGAGCGAGATCGTGGTTTTTGTTGTTCCCGCGAAGCGAAGATCATTCGCTTGGCGAATGAAGTGGGTCAACCTCTTTTTGGCTTCGGCCAAACACTTTTTCTCGCTGGTCGAGCTTTCTACAAAAAAAGCGATGCGAGAACGTATTCTCTTATCTAAGCTTCTTCCCTGTGCATTCGCTCTCCCCATCGTAGATGGTTCAGCCACGCCCGGTGCCACGAAATGATTGAGAACTACGACGGGGTCGAAATGAATTTGGTTCTTTGTATTCAATAAGTATTGCATGACCGAATAATTCAAGGAGGGGCGCACTGCAGGGAGGGTCCTTTTAAGTAGATGACTCGTCGGGTCGTCGGAGCGGGACTTCTTTGGGAAAAAGAACTTGAATAACTTCGTTTTTCGGAAGGAGTCGTCATTTTCTATCAGGGACGCTATGTCATTTACAACCCCGGCGTAGTTCGGATGCTTGAAGGCCCCGCTGACCCGAAGTGATTTAGAAAGATTCTTCTTTATCGATGGTGATCGGTCATGGTATCTATAGCCTTGCTTTTTTTTCGGCCAAATCCGGATTTCGTTTTGCTTCTTTCGGTCGTCGAGCCTGATCGACTCGACTCTTTTCCCTGCCCCCCGGCCTCTCACTTCGTTTCGTTCTTCTTCTGTATCGTCGCTTGAATGAAGACACCCGATCGGCCCGACTTTCCCGAATGTCGTCCACCACCGGCCCTTCTCCTTTCCGGGTCTGGTTTTTTTGCGTCGTTTCAGTCGTCGTGGTCGACGGGGAAGAAAGAAATGAATGAATGTTCTTTTAGGAAAATGTAGAATAATACACCTACCGAGACGAAAGCCAAAGGTTAGTCTCGTAGGTGGACGTATCGAACCGAAATAAGATCTCAGATTTACATCTTGATACACCGATTTACCATAATAATAAATAGAGTCAATGGTGACTCCGCCGTGGGAAGAGCCGCTTCTTTCTTGCTTGATAAGGGGGGCTTCCATTCACCAGCAAAGACTAAAAGTGCTCTCCGAACCGTGCTGGATAGTCACCCATCACACGGCTCTCAAACCCAACCCGTGGTGGATCCCGGGGGACAAAGTAAAAGCGCTTGATCCTTTGCCCCATACTTTGAGATGCTCCTCCCCGCCGATCAAGCAGCGACGCTGCTCGTGATAGGCTTAGCTTTAAGCTGCTATCGTTCGGTTCGGATAAGTCAAGTCCCTTCGGTCGGGTGGTCTTCTCTTATCTTCCCTAACGTTCAGAGTAGTTCTGGTTTGAGAAAGGAGCACCGGCCGAGCGCCCTGAATGAATAAGAAATGGACAGCAGAGAGAATCAATGATTCTTATTCAACCGAGTTGAAGCTAGCAACATGTTGATTACACACCGGAGGTTAGTCAGAACTGAGGGGCAATGCCCCCCTAACCTAAGTGGGCCTACCAGCGAAGCAACTGGTACTTGATTGGGGCGGGGGGCGGTTTGGTTTCGTGCAACGCCCTCGCAGCAGGAAGAGGCAGTTGTCATTTGAAAGGAAAGGCCCTTTGGGTTCCAAACCTGCGCACCCTGATTAAAAAGCCCTTTCTATCTTATTAGTCAAGCCTAAACGTCCTGCAATCAAACTCAAGCGCTAACGCGCCTTAGATTATATAATTAGAATAGCAACCTTTCGTCTTTATTGATATAAAACAAGCTTACTTACTAATAAAGCGGAAAGAAGCACCTTCTTTCTCAAAGTCAAGTTTCGTGCTTCTGACTTTAGAAAGATTGCAGCGTTAGCGAAACAACTTCTCCTTTTCTACGAATCTACAACTCTTTTCTCTTTACTGAGCGAGACTCCATCCATATCCCTTCCCTACTAGTACTAGTGGGATATTATTCCATTTCTATTCTATCATTTGTTTGACAGCTTAAACTAGGCTTCATTTTAGATAGGTTTTCGGTCTTAATCAAGATAGGTCAGGGGCGCGTCGGAACGGTCGGTGGCTGCTTAGTCTTATCCGAGAGTCTAATCTCTTTGTACTGCTTTTTGATCTTTGAAAAAAAAGAAAGAAGGGGGTCGATTTAGGCTCCTTCCCTTCCACTGCATAGCTGCGCTAGCTGGTACTACGAGCCCTCTGTCCCACACATCTATCCAGCTCGCGTGGTTCACCGGTTCCACCGAAAACTCTCATTTGTTGAAGCGGAGCATAGTGCGCTTTAGGCGCCGAGCGAGAAAGGTCTCTTCTTTCGTTTCGGTTTATTCACTGATCTGAAACTGAGTACTTGTTTTCTTATTGATTCCAGGGGCGGCGGCCTCTTTTTTGAAGTCTATCCGAACCGAATTAGCACTTCTCAGATCAGGCTAGCCCTCTCCAGCTGAGCTGGGCGTCGGGGCCCTGGATGCGCTAGCGATCGGCGCATAGGGGGGGGGGTGGTTGCCCGGCTTTCTCGGCCTGGTATCCTACACCTCGCGTTCATGATATCTACATTCAACTGTGCCCCGGAGACACGGTCGAAGCACGCCCGTCCAGTGTGCTTCTTTCACGACATGCTCTGGTTCCGGGTGTTTTCCAGTGGTCTTCTAGCGTTAGAAGAAGTCGTGTCCGCCCCGGCATCCGCAACGTCCTCCCACGCTTTTTTTGAATATAGGACAAACTGAAGGAAAAGACTGACCCATTCGGTGACTTTCGCGGTCGCCCTCACTGAACCAACTTGAATCTGAACTACGATTCAGATCAAGTCTTACCGAAATCGGATTTCCTTTGCGTGCCATATGCCCTTAGACTTTACTTATTTCCCTTAATTCTTCCCGGTCCACTATTTGTTCTCGAAAGTCTTCGTTTCCGTGTAGAAGCAAACCTCGCACAAGAATCCCACGAAGAATGGTCTGCCTAACCACCGGCTTTGTCCAGCTTTGCGCCTTGACCTTGATGACATTCAATATCATGTACCCATGTTCCTATACGTATATCGGCTAATGGTATGCAATTTCCTATTTGAGAATTTAGGTCAAGTATCTCGTATCTATAAGCAGGGGGCGTGGCCAAGAAGCAGCCAGCTGACTGCCCCCTTCCACTCGGCCTTTTTTCGCTGTGTGAATAAGGTCTTAGTATGGATGGTCATTCTGGGCGGGTCGCAATAAGTCGCTGGTCGAAGGTTTGGACCAATCGCAATTCATCACCATTTTGCCTGCTTCTAATTGATGACTGGCTATTATATAAGTGTTGACCTAAGCCCCTGGGCTGGGGTTCGGCTCCCGAACCGTACGTGAGCTGCCTCGTACGGCTCTTCCTAAGAACTTGAAGCCCCCTCTCTCTAAATCAAAATGAAAAAAAGAAATGAAGACAAAAAACACTTTTTCAAAAAGCCTTCGCCCTCCTATTTAACGGGGCTATTAGAGAAGCAGCTTCGTTCCTTGACTTCTTTGCTCAGTCAAGCTTCCTTGTTCCTTAGTGTAGTCTCGGTCCATAGTTTAAGACTCCGTTCCTTATAGCCTAGTCTATATCCACAGCTGACGGTGACTCCGTACCGACGCCTTTCCCTTTGTAGACGGCTAAGTGACTTCGTAACCTTAACGTACTTATTTTCGTACTTTCTTTCTGACTCTATCATAGGCCTTCGTCGGGCTTTCATCCCTTCGCCTATAGGCGAAGGCTTGGCTTCGCTATCGCTCATGACTTGGTATAGAGTCTGTGTAGTCGTCGGCCTTCACACCAGAAGGCCTATGATAGAGTGGTCGGCCTTTCGAATGCCTCCTTCCTGACTTTTCTGAGAAGCTTTTTACGACTATAAAGGACAGGGGGCTGTTCACCTTTGGAAACTTAGCTACACCGGTCACGACATGTTCTTTGTTGATATTGATTGAGGAGTTTAGCTGACTGAATCCATAAACCGTCAAAGTCACCGTCACTGGTACTTTTTTGACTCTATAGGTAGGTATAGGTATTGGTGGAGCTTGCGTAATGTAGTTGTAGTTAAGGTTGCATTGAAGTAGCGCTTTTTCTTTTTGAAGATCTACTGAAGTACCAAAGGCGAACGGGGCTCCCAGGCCGGGACGTCTGGCAGAATGCTTGGCCTCCTGCGCTGGAAGCGACACCCGAAGGGTGAGCTTCTGGCGGTTAGCTTCTCGAACTAGATAATAGGCATTAGGCATTCTGAGCTGGAAGGAGGCAAGCAAATGAAGGGAGGCATTACGGGCCGACTACAAGAAGCAAAGCTTCGTAGACTCGACAAGTCGCCGCTTATAGAATGCCGACTACTAAGTTCAGACTTTCCACTTTCTTTAATAAGGGAAGGGGAGAGGGAAGCGAAGCTTAGCGAGCTGGCCGACCACTACATAAGCCGCTGGCGGAGAAAGCTCGAAGAGCTTCCCTTCATTCGTTGCTAAGCCAAGGTCCCAGGTCTCCGAGTCAGCCCGCGCTTTTTCGAAGAATCCTGCACCCATGGGCATACGGCCTGGCAGGCCTTCCCTTTCCGCCGGAGCTTCATGGGCGTTGCCCCGTTCCCCAATCAGATGTTTGGATGTGAGCTATACTCCGCGAGGAGCCAAACGGGCGTATGGCCTTGCCTTGCCATTTGACCTCTCTTCCCGTGTGACTAGGAATGCTCAGTGACAACCTCTCAATTGTCACCGCCTGGCCTCTCTTGCTACCGCGGTAGCACCTAGTGTGGTCAGCACCAATCGTGTTCGGGCAACGAAGCTTACACTCATTCACATTGGTTCATCCTTCTATGCCCCGGGCCTTTTGCTCTCCTAACGTAAAAGGTGGCCGGCCATTCGTCAAGGCCCAGGAATCCGCTGGACATCTCAGCGGCGGGATTGGATACCCGCATCCGATCGAAGTTTCATTTTAGTGCCCCCTAACATAAAGGAGAGCTCTTTCTAGGTGGGTCGCTTCGCGCAAGACATTGCTTAGGACCAACGGGTCACACGACAGGTGCACGATCGACTTTGCACGCTCTATCCTTCGGCCTTTCGCCTATCGGCTTGGCAGGCAAGCTACCTTGATCCGTCTTCGGCTTCGATTCGTTATGCTCAGCAGCTCCAACAAGCCCTAAAGTCTCTTGCCGCCTAAAACTCTGCCAAGAAAGCGCTGCTTTACGTTTAATCCTATGTGCCCAGAGAATGCTATGCGTTCTCCACTTTCGGACCTCGCAAAGAGAGAACGTGTTTTTTCCTCTGACTTTCTCTTTCATTCGCGGAGCGAAGAAAGCGGGCTTTGCCCCAGCTACCGCTATCCTTGGGAAATCAAAAGAGCTAGCGAAGGAAAGGGATGCAGTCTCTCCCTTGGCCTTTGGAGAGGAGAAGGCAGAGAAGAAGACGTCCTTCGCGCAAGTTTTTTTGCTTCCTGCGCCCTTACTAGTAAAGGCGCTCTTCGACCAAAGAGGCATTCTGGTAGGAAGGCCGACCACTACATAAGCCGCCATCAGTCCAGGAGAGAAGCAAGCTACCTTTCTTTGATCCACCTTCCCGGGCAGGGAAGAGAACGAAAATAGGCCGCGGATGGTGGTCGTGGTAGATTCGAGGATCTTGCGCGGCGGAGCGAACTCCTCTATCGTCTTCAATTTCCTCTGGCGGCGTAGCTGCACCCCCTCGATCCATCGTACTGGAGCGATCCGAGAAGAACGATTAGGGTCATATTCTATCCTTTCTACAATGCCCATAGACGAAGTGCTTCGTTTCAGATCAATTCTTCGCTGCAATCGCTTCGATCCACCCCCTCGGTGAAAAACCGTAATACGCCCTGAGGAATTCCTACCAGCAGACTTTCCTGTACTCAAAGTGAATTGTCTAAGTGCTCTCCCCTCTTGGCTTTGTCTCATTGTCTATCTCGTAATCATTCGATTCCGTCCGAATTAGCTCCTACTCCTCCTCCTTCTCCTCCTTCATCGTCGTTGGTCCTTTTGACATAACATTCTCGGCCGCCTCCGGTCCGGTAGGAAAGAAAGCTGTAGCCAGTGACTACTTTCGCTATGGAGCGACGTGTACACCGCCACGTCGAGACTCTCTTTCGAAAGTGAGATCACCACCGGCTTTAAGAAGAGGGAAAGATCACTCCTAAATGCAGCCGTGATCTTATATATGATACCATCAGACGCGCCCCTGCCCCCCTCGCAGTCAAAACTCTCCTCTCCAGTGAGACCAGCCGAGCCAGAAGCCTCCTTTCCTTCAACTAATTAAAGCGATTCAGTCAGTAGGAAATCTCACTGAAGATTGGATTATATACAACCTCGTGAAAAAAACAACGCTAAATCTAAAGTCAAATAAAGTCAGGCGCGCTACGGCTTTTCAGCCTACACTTGCTGCGAGGTGAGGTTGGTTCAAAATCAATAGGAAAAGGCGGAATCAGAAGATTCCGTTGTGACTGGATGATTTTGTTCCGCACCGGGATTCGTTCTCCCGCTACTAATGGTAATGGACGAGACCAAGGTTTGGTTTTCAATCAAAGGAAGTTAACCTTCGGAAAAGCCAAGTGGCTACCCCTTTTAAAACACAGGATTCGACACAGACGTGGTATGCTCTCAATCTGATAGAAATTGATTGGACCGCCCCCCTTCCCCTCTTCCTTCTGGGTGAATAATGGGTAACTACTAGTGTAGTCAGTCAGTCTACGTGCTATACGTCTTTCACTATTCAAGTAAAGGTCTTCTTTCTTTGGAGCTCAGGGGCCTGTGATGTAGGGATTGTGTTTAGATGTCCGAATGACCTTTTGTTTGAGAGAGATTGAGCATATAACCAAGGTTCAAAGAAAGGGTGGGAAAGAACAATAGCGCTCAGAGGGAGAGAATTCTTTCTATTCCATTTCATTGCCCTCTTATCTTATTACATTACATTGTCAGTAGGTCAGTCAACTCATACAGAAAGAAGCGCCTTTGCGGAGAGACGCCCAGTAAGAAGGGCCTTTCCAGAATATGAATCGTCGGTTAGGTTTTATCCGAAAGATTGGAAGAACCTTTGACCCTATCCTTTGGGGTAGGTTAGCCCTACATATTATTAAGGATTCTTTCTTTGCCCAAGGGAAGGGTCCCGCTCTCATGCTCCCAAGGCATGTTGATGAACCATTCCATCTGTATATTATCTTTCTGCTTTGGGCGAGTCCTTCTGAGCCTTCCTTTCTTTTGAGGAATAGTCAAGATGGGCTGGAAGAGAAAGAAGGATCACAACGACCGGCGTCATTTCTTTTTCTTTCTGGTTAGGTTTCATCAGCCTGGTTAGAGGTTTGCCTGAGGGCTGCGTGCGCTTATAATCTTTCTACTCCCCGGCCTTGTCCCATGCATCAGGGGAAAGGGCTCGCCGATCTCCTTTAGGGATGGTCGACATTGCTTCTTTGCCCGGTTCGTACTGACTTTCGGAGCGAGCAAAAGCGTACTTTGGGGCAAAACCCTGGCTCTGCAGTGCGTTATTTGATTGGTGGGGCATCTTGGATCGGGGGCTTTAGTCTTTTTTTTCCGAGAGATCGTGTTCTTGCTACTGCCCGCCATAAGAACAGGGCGAAGTCACAGGTTCACCTCCAGAGGGCCGATTTTCCGACTCTATCTATACTCTTTGGACGGAAAGTTCCTTCCGCAGCTTGGCCTCACCTTACCTGGAGGAATTCCTTTGATCTTCGAGCCGATTCTCACGTTTAGGTTGGTCTTTCGTCTTTCGAATTTAAGTGTCGATTGGTTTGTGTGAGCCTTCGGTAGTTGCATCTGTATAATTTCCGGGCGTGACCCGGTGTACCTGCTTCCAAGCCTCCGCTATTTCCTTTACTAAGTTCCTTACCTTTGTCTTTGTATTACAATTCCAGTTCACTCAGCTCGTGTGTCATAGGGACAAAATCTTTTGCACCAAACTGCCTCCGGACCATGGGGAGGAGTCAGTTAGCCCACTACGCCATCAGAGACTGGATTAGAGCCTGGACCTCCACTTGCGGAAAGATCACTGCGTAATGGAGACTCGCTTTTGATTAACTAGCTTGGCTCGCATCCGACCATGGGACGCCCTTCAAGTCCAGATGAACTCTTTTCGGAGCATAGCCAACCAACTGTGAATCAGCCGCTATTCTATTAGGTTCTCGAAAGCGAGTGAAGTGCTTTGCTGCTTACTTTACCGGACAGGAAGACTAGCGAAGGAGTCATGGGCTTTCTTGGCTCAAGAGAAGATTCTCTCCCTGGTCGAATTCATTCCTATCTTCCCGGTGCGGTCTAGCTTTCTTCTAAAAGGCTAGAAAGACCGCAGGCAGTGGAGTAGGGCTTAGGTTACAGGGGCAGACATCCCGAGAGAGTGAAGTACGCATTCAGCTCATAGATCTTTCTTTTTAAGCCAATTTTCCCGGGTTTCCTCTTTCTGGCACAATTCCAATTCACGTCTTAGAGGGAAAGGGCAGTTGAGGACAAAAAGAGAAAATGAAACTAGTGACCCGCAAGGGAACTTTCGCTAGTAAATGACCCAGGCATGGGGCTTGGGTGGGACCTGGTGGATCAACGGCCTACCAGGGCAAGCTTACTAATCAATCCCCGTCTTTTTGGGGAACGAACGAAAGAAGAAAGAGTGGATGTTATTACGTAGTCTTGTCTTCAAGCTGAAAGCCAGGAACAAGAAGACCGAAAGGCAAGACCTCTTTAGTAGCACCAGACAAGGCATTCTGAAGCAAAGCCAGGAAAGGGAGCTTCCGTTAAGAGAAAACTGAAATCAAGGTCAGGCTTTCGGGTCCCGGGAAAGCTGCGAGTGAGGAAGTGCGCAAGGGAAAGGGAAGAGAGGGCTTCTATAGAGAGATATGAGCTGCTATTAGTTCACTTCAAACAGTATAGAGTATAGCGCCTAGTCTTGAAAGCAAGGGACAAAGAATCACCGGAACGAAAAGTCACCCTACCCGGAACGAAGGCTTAAGAGGCCATTTTAGGACTTGTTATCAGCATAGGGTCATAACCCGAAAGGGGTTTTGGTTAAAGAAAGTGCCCTTTTGTCCTGTCTTTCGCGACTGACTATGTTGGGAAGAAAGAGAGATGAGTCAAAGAAAGAATGACCAAAGAGCACGAAGACCGGGAAGTTTCCATAGCTTGGGCCAACGATCTGGTCCGACCGGTGGTATCGTATATAAGATCACGGCTTCCTTTAGTATTCTTAAACCTCTTTCTTAAAGGATGTTTTTGATAAAGTTCTTTGTCTTTCTCTTTCTTTGTCGAGATTGGGTTGGTCTTCCGCTATGCCCCTCCTCGCCTATAAGCCAGAACTCTTTTGGGAGCCAAGGAACTGTAGGGCTTAGCTTAGATAAGAGCAAGAGAGGGAAGAGATAGATTCAAAAAAGAAATAGATATATGAGACATAGAATCTCTCTAAAGAGCTACTACTGAGCACTCCCGGCACCATTAGACCGACATGATTGATGCTCTTTCATGTCCCCTCGGGTTCAAGCTAGAATAGCGTAAAGAAACTGTGCTTAAAAGCATGGCATTGAAGTAAATAGGGAATGAAGGTAATAGAATGTATGGATTCTTTCCCCTCTCTGCTTCATCCTTTTAGGAAAGAGGAGTCAAAAGATCTTTTTCGTTCTAGGAAAGAATTGATCAAAGAATAAGTGGTCTCACTAATATCTATGAATAAAAGAATGAGATTGAAATTGGATATCTCCTTTCTCAATGCCTGGAAGCTAGAAAGATTCTTCTTCTTTAAAGTGCATTCATGACCCCTTGTTAGGGTCAATCACTTTCTTTCTCCTTTACACCCGGAAAAGTCCTATCTACGAATTCCGGGTCAGATTCTCTATTCCTTACCTTTATGTACGCTTCGTAGATCGGATAATGTCAAAAATAGATTCTTAGCTTATCTTATTCAAAAGTCATTGATAGAAGGACGTATGTTATATATATACATACCGGATTCACAACCTTGACTTGCCCTCTCTTCTTCCTTATTCCGTCTAGCTCTTTCTAAAAGCCTTATTCACCTCCATCGCTTAGACCTATGCTTTTTTATCTTTCTTTATTGGAGATAGAGGTGCGCTTACTATTCTAGCTATGTCCGCCTTATCTTTTCTTATCTGAAATTCGATTTGCTTTTCTATATAAAAAAGAGAGTAGAGGCGGTACGGGGCGCACTCAAGTGATTTGATCCTTAGTAGGGCAGAGCAGAGCTCCCTATTCTATTTATTAGAGAGAAGACAAGACAGTTAAAGCAAGCAGTCGACTCATTAGCCCGCTTACTTGAACCACAGTCAGGGACTATAGTCAGTGCGGTAATAAAAGAAAGATTCAGACTGCTCTAAGGCTTACTAGTCCTTAGCAGAAAGAAAGAGACTATTCAAAATGAGGTTTTTTCTTTTATGTGAGTGCTGCTACCTTAATTCTTCCCTTTCTCCTTAAGTTAAGCAAGCGAGTGCGCAGGTCAGCTTCCTTCTTCAAAAGACTAGTTGGCATAGGACTCTAAGGTACGTTGAGCTACCCACTTCGATCCATTTTGAAGGCCTATTTCTTCTTTTTTTTATTTATTCGAAGCCAAAGGTGCCTTTCCCATCAGGCTTTTTGTAACCCCATTAGCGTCTGTGAGAGTGGCTTCCTACTTTCCCAAGAAGAAAGACTTTCATGCTACCCATATATTCCACCACCCGCCCTGGTAATTGCCTTTCGCCCAAAGCATCGGACATGGCTTCGTATCTACTTACTGAGAAAGGCAAGATCGAGGATTGAATCATCTCATCTGGCGCGCAGTCATCATATTCACGCCTTCTTTGAAAAGAATGAATAATTGGGATGAATTTCATATATCATACTTGACTTCTTAGTTCTTATAAATGATTGAAGAAAGGAAAGCCTCTTCTAGGCCAGCCCTTCATTTCATCTCT